GGGGGGGGGGGGGGGGGGGGGGGATGGACTCCTGGTCTCTTGGAAAGGTCGCAGTCGATTGTGGGGTGCACTGCTGCGATCTTTTCCCGGCCATCTAGTTCGACGCGTCTTGATCTTGTGTTTTGTTTTGTATTCGGAGGATAATCTCTCCAAAGGGTGAATGATGTCTTGAGGCATTGTGATCGGCGTGTGTCTGACCATGTTTTACAACGTTTTCTGATTTTGATTTTTACTTAAGTGTTAATTGTAAGCTTGCACCAACAAGAGAAAACGAGGTCCGTGTGTGTGTTCGGTTCTTTCGTTCTTTTGCCTTGCCGTCCCACCTAGTCTAGGCGTCGGTCTACTACACCTTGCGTTACATATTTGACGCACCAACCGGGGCCACACAAGAAGTCAACACGTTTTTTTTTCTCTCCACCTTCCATGTTGCCATTTCTTGCCCTCCAACTCTTAACGCAAGAAGCGTCAGCAGATTCTGTCCTTATTTAGTGTTTTCTCCCGACTGCTGTGCGCTTTCCACGTGCATGTTGCGATTTTTTTCCACTGCAAGAGAGCTTCGAATCCGCAATCTAAATAGAGAGTCCGAACGTTGCGAGGGTATATTAACTTATTCGCCGGGACGACTATAGTAGTAGGAGTATGATAGTTTACTCGTTTGCGTGCGGCGTGTCGTTTTGTATCGATCCTTGTGGCAGGCCAGACTAATGTAGCGAATAGTCTAGAGTAGCAAATAGTAACCCCACAACTCGGCTGGGATGCACTGTCCAGCGGGACATGCGCGCCTTTCGGAGCAAACTGCGCGATATAGGTGCACCTCTGCGAATAGTGGGGACTTCCTAGTTTCAGAGTTGATTGTTTTGTGCTTGAGCGCGTGATCCTCGTTTATTCCCGAGTTATTTTTGTGTACTCAGCATTCGTTACGATCGCCATGGCCGTGGACACTCAAGCGGCCTATGGGGGGGGGGGGGGACGAAGCAGTCAGAGTTGGTTGGGTTTGCCCAGGTTCGTGCGCGTGGGGAAGGGTGGGGTAGGTACTTGCGTGCAAGCGGTTTCGGCCAGGACAGATAAGATCACGAGCTCTGCAATTAGTGCGATGTGGTAGGGCCGGGGGGAGGGTAGGGGGTGACATTTGCATCGAGCTCTACCCGACTGTTGAGAGATAGACGTGTGGGCGAGCATGGGCTGGTGCAGGTCGGTAATTTGTTTGACGTTATCGGCCAGGTGATGGAGCGAAACACGATTGCGTCGAGGAGCGAATCTGGTGGTTTTCATCGCGGAGGAAGATGATAGTCTACATCATGCTGACAGAGAGCTGTTGTGGATTACTTGAGCATTTATCTCAGTGTGTGTGCGTGTTTTGTTTGCTGACGCACTGGTGATGTGAGTTGGGGGAAATTCTCAAACCTGGCAGTGCGGTCTACATTATTACCTCGGCGGGTCTCCGGTCGTGAGACGAGACCGCGCGGTATATATGTCATCTTCCACGTCAGGTCTGAAGACGTTCTGATGTTTTGCATCCCGCCGAGACTATACGCCTTCTCGTTGGCCAGCCGTTTTTCGTAGTAGAGTGCCACAGAATAATCACAATCGGAGAAGGTCTGAACCAGGGGACTATTGTATGATGGGCGAAAGGTCGCTTGTGTATGCAGCCCGCCCAGAGACGAAATCCATCAACCGCCAAGACAGATGATCTCTTCAGGCCCTAACTGTCTGTAGTGTAGCCCGGTTCGTGCTGCTGAACTCCGAAATTAACTCACATCCGGGGTCACTGGACGTGCCACCGCCAGTCTATTGCCTTCGGCAAGGGCCACTGAGTTTTCGAGGAACAGACTTGAACGCAACCCCGTTGAGCCCCTTCTTCTTGTTGGCGGTTCGAAGATGGATATGAAAAGAGAGAAAAAAAGTCAACGGAATGGACTTGTCGGCCCTGTGGCTTGCAAGTAAACAACGAATCAAACCACAACCCGAGAAAAGGCGCATCAAAATCTAACCCGTTGAGTATACACACGTGCTATCTAGCACCTCTTACCTCGTGCATGGTACGGCTAACTGCTGTGGATTTCTACTGCTATTATACCTATATCTCAAACCAATATCAGCGCGGGACAAAACCCGGTTGTCCCGAACGGACACAAACACCGGGCAAAACCAACCCCTTTCACCCTTGTGCTTGCTTCCGGCAATTTGCTTGCAGCGGCGTGGTGGTGTGCTTTTGGTACCTTCCTGCTGCGTCTACCGCGCGAAACATCCTGCCGTGTGGGCGGAGGTTGAACGTCGGCGTGGTTCTTGAGCGGGGGAAAGGCTGTCGTTGGTGAGACAAAATCAGCTTTGAAGTAAACAATGTTGTCACACACACATCCTCTGTAGACGACGGCAGCTGCTACTCCTGTACAGCAGTACCAGTGCATAGACTTCCAGCTTGATGTGCTAAAGACCCGGGAGAGAGTCAGGCGTCGAACAGGGAATCCCACCAGGTAGGTGATACTACTCAGCACGAATGCTATGCCCGGTGGAACCGTCCCCGAATGTGTTTGCAAGTGCATACATCAGACGCAACTACAGCAGTACTGCTTGCTGTAGACTGACACGCCGGTCTGCAACATACTGCTGTAGATAGGCGGACAACACAGCAGCAATTGAATTTTAAATCACCGACAGCTTGGTTGTCGTGATGGATGGTGTGGTCGCCCTGCTCTCTCCTGCGCTCGTTGGATTGAGTTGGCGTGTGTTTTTGTGTGTCATCATCTATCGGAGTACGTGGGGCGTGCCGCTCGCATTTCCCGATAACGCTGAGTGAATTCCGCAGCTGCGACCCTCGCTCCTCCCTGTTCTGTGGTCAGCCGGTTGGCGGTAGACACAAAAAAACAAAGAACCATTGCGTTCAACGCTGTAGTATCATGGTACGATACTAGCACACCGTTGCAAAGGTGAAGTGGTGTAAGCGTTGTGCCATCTTCTTTTTTCACAAGAGGTCTCTGATCATTACGAAGGCTGGACCGTTTCGTGCGGTCTCCTCCCCCCCCCCCCCCCC